AAATAATGTATATATATATATATATATATATATATATATGTATATAGGTATTAGGAAGAGACGGAAGAAATTTATTAGATATATCTGTATCTAATAAGACAGCATTATATAATTCATCTTTTGTGAAGAAATTTTCGTCGTTAAATTCAAATATTCAAATTTTAGGAAGAATTATTAAATTATGGGCATCCAATCGAGGAATTAATAATAGGTATACTCCTGCTGCTCCTGCTGCTCCTGCTGCTGCTGCTGCTGCTAATGCTGCTGCTGATGCTGATGCTGCTGCTGATGCTGATTGTGCTGATGCTGCTAATGCTAATTGCTGTGCATTATTAAATTATGGGCATCCAATAGAGGAATTAATAATAGGTATACACCTGCTGCTGCTGCTGCTGCTGCTGCTGATGCTGCTGCTGTTGCTGCTGCTCATTGTCCTATGTGTTATTTATGTGTTATTATGTGTCTCCTTTTCTTACTATAGATCAGAGGGGACATTAAGTACTTATACATTAATGCTGCAACTCTTCTTCTTCTTACAAACACGTACTCCTCCTTTGTTGCCCCTATATAAGTAAGTAAATATAATATAATTTAGTGTCTCCTTTTTTGTCTCCTTTTTATTTGTCTCCTTTTTCCTTATTTATTATTAGGTGTCTCCTTTTTTTGTCTCTTTTTTATTTTTGTCCCCTTTAGAGACATCGAGATTGTAGGAGACACGCATGCAGATGGTACTGACTCCCCAGCAGCAGCAACAGCAGCAGCAACAGCAGCAACAGGAGCAGCAGCAGGAGCAGCAAGAGGAGGTGTACCTATGTGGGGTAATAATACGAAGATATCTGGGGATCGGTTTTGTGGAGACGATCCCAGCTGTCTCCCCTTCATCTCTGACACCAAGTAAGCAGCAACAGTATCCCTGTGTCTCCTTTTTGTCTCCTTTTGTCTCCTTTACTATCTCCCTCTGCTTTTGCAGCTGCTGTTGCTGCTGCTGCTGCTGCTTTACCTTTTGTTGCAGTGTCTGTCTCCTTTTTTGTCTCCTTTTTTTTTCTTTCTCTGCAGCAAAATAAAAGAGTTAATGGAGGGACAACCAAAGAATGAGGAGACAGTTGAGGAACTCCTTAAGGGATTCTTTCATGTGCGCTGCTGCTGCTGCTGCTGCTGCTGTTGCTGCTGCTGTTGCAGTAAATTCTGCTTTTCTCTTCTACCATTGGCCTATTTTCTCGGCATTTGTCGTTCTTTTCCTCATTTATTTATTTATTTATTTATTTTATTTATTTATTTTATTTATTTTATTTATTGTGTACAGTTTTACGGTTATGCATTACCTCGTATACAAGGAGAAGGTCCTCTTGTTGTTGATTTATATGATGGCTCTCTCCGTGTGGGGCTGGAGGAGATCGATCCAAGGAAGCTGCATGCATATGCAGGAAAAGGAGGAGGAGCAGCAGAGACACAGCCTGCGCATGCAGCAGCAGCAGCAGCGGAGACACTACAGGGGCCTCTTAGCCCTTTTCAAGAATTCAAAGAAAAGGCACTTTGGGGGCTGCATGCGCATGCAGCCCCAACCGCGCATGCACAGAGCAGCAGAATCTTTTCTGCGTTGCCACGTTGCGCAGCCCTTACGCAGCCCGTACCGCACCCTACCAGCAACAGCAACAGCAGCAGCAGCAGCAGGAGACAGTATTTAGGTGGTACTGCTCCTGTGTTGCATGTAAGGTGTCCCCTTTCTCGTTGTATTGTTAATAGATTTAGTCCCTCTGCTTGGTCATCCATCTTATCCGAATTCATAAGGGGACATCTGTTGCTAGAAGCGCTGCAGCAGCAGCAGCAAGAGCAGCAGCAGCAGCAGCAGCAGCAGAAGGGGCAGGACCAGCAGCAACAGCAGGCCTCCACCTTCAGTCTTCTTTTCCAGCCCGTAGAGGTGGCGCACAAGGATCGCCTAAGAGCGGGTGAGACATGCTGCTGCTGCTGCTGATGCTGCTGCCGTTGCTGCCGTTGTTGATGCTGCTGCTGCTGCTGTTTGTTGCACATGCGAAGCCTGCACATATACACCATATCTTCTGTTTCTTTGCATGCACGTCCGTGTCTCTGCATGCATGTCTCTGCATGCATATATTTGCATGCATGTCTTTGCATGCATGTCTGTGCATGTCTTTGCATGCAGAGACATTCGCCTACCGGAGGTTTGCTGCTGCACTGGCGCGCAGCAGAGGGCTGCTGCCCAATATCTTGCCCTCCACAGCAGCAGCAGCAGCAACAGCACCAGCTGCTGCTGCTCCCCCATCAACAGGACCTACAGCAGCGGCTGCTGCAGGAAGAGCTGCAGCACGAAGCCGCTGAGGTGTACGGCTGCTGCAGCTGCAGCAACACATAAAGAAAAAAATATTTCTTTTTTCTTTTTTTATTGTTTTTTTTTATTATAAACCCTTTTCCCTATTATTTGTTTATTTCTTTTTACGTTTTTTTTTGTATTTGTTTCCTTTTTATTGTTATTTTATTATTGTATACTATATAAACATATATTTATATATTATACAACCTTAGGTAGTATATATATGTCTATTTTTTATTTGTATATTAGTCTCCTTACTAGCAAACACCAACAAAAGCCAACAAAAGTATTTATTTGTCCCTTTTATTTATTATTAAATATAAACAAATATGTCTATTTCCTGCTGCTTCTGACAACCTGCTCCCCCCGCATGCATGCATGCATGCATGCATTGTTCGGGGCTTTCCTTAGCATGCATGCGTTGTCGCATGCTGCTACAGCCTTGGACTGGTTGCTGCTGCCTCATTTGAGCAGCAGCAGCAACAGCAACAGAAAAAGGTGCTGCTGCTGCAGCACCAACAGGAAAAGGTGCTGCTGCTGCTGCAGCAACAGGAGCTGCTGCTGCACATTTAAATATCCTTAGCAGCCTCTGTCTTTCCCTCTCTCTTATTCAGCAACATCTGCCACTCCTGGAAGACGCTACTCATCATATTCATCTGCATGCATGCAGCAGGCAGCAACAGCAGCAGCAAAAATATAGACACCAGCAGCAGCAGCATGAAGAATACCACTAACAGCAGCAGCAGCAGCAACAGCAGCAGCAACATATGCATCGAAAGCATCACCATCATCATCATAGCACCATCATCACCAACACCAACAGCAACAGCATCAACAGCATCAACAGGAGCAGCAGCAGCAGCAGCAGCAGCAGCAGCAGGAGCAGCAGAATTATTACTGTAGTATTATAAGTATGAGCAAGATGTTGAATTTTATTTTCAATTTTTGCGACGCAAATTGCAATTTCATTTCCTTTTACTTCTAATGCATGCATGCGCCTCTTATAGTCGGCTAAATCTGCATGCAGCCCCAAATATACACAATATGCATGCATGCATCCATGCATGCATACATCCATGCATGCATACGTGCAGCAACTACTGTAGAAGATAGGGAAGCACAGATATACGCACCCCATGGGGATGATCCTGCTGCTGATTAAGGTTCTGCATGCAGCAGCAACCGTAACAGTTATAGCAGCAGCAGCATTAGCAGCAGCAGTCGCAGTATCAACAACACTAGCAGCAGCATTAGCATTAGCATTAGCAGCAGCAGCAGCAACAGCAGCAGTTAATTGTGCATGCACTATTATATACCTGATAGACAAGGAGGATTAACATATTGCTGCAGTGTCTCTAGAGATCTAAGTTTTGCTGCTGTTGCTAGCAGCAACTCTTCCTGCTGCAGCACCAACTCTCTCTTTGCATGCAACGTCAGCAGCAAACGAGCAGCAGACACAGGACCACCCTCTAACCACACCTTTAACTCCGAATCTGCAGCAGCAGCAGCAGCACCAGCAGCAGCAGCAGCACCAGTAACAGCATGAGAGGCAGCACTGAACAAGGGAGGTAACAAGACGGCTCCTGCCCTTGGAAACCAACAATGCAGCAGCAGCAGCAGCAACCGCAGCAGTAGCAGCAACAACAACAACAGCAGCAGCAGCAACAGCAGCAGCAGCAACAGCAGCAGCAGCAGCAGCAGCAGCAGCAGCAGCAGCAGCAGCAGGAGCCTGCATACATTTAGCGAGTACTTCTGCAAGTGAGCCTCTCATAGCCACAGCAGTTTGTTGCTGTAAACTACAAAGAGATAAAATAAGAGATAAATTTTTGGGGCTTTTGCTTGCATGCGCTCCTACTCCTCCCTTTATTAATTCATTAGGGTTTATACCTATAGGAAAACAAAAAAGAAAGGCAGCAACATATATATTAACAAATAGCAGCAGCAGCAGCAGCAGCAGCAGCAAGAGCAGCATCAGCAGTCCCTGATGATGGGGCATATGCTGCAATAGTCCACTAAACCCTAAACCCTAAACCCTCAAAATGGAGAACAGGAGGGAAGGAGGCCCATTGCCTTAACCTCTACGGTAACTAGCAAAGTGTCTAGGGTTTATCGAGGGTTTGAGGTTTGCTGAGGGTTTAGGGTTTATTGAGGGTTTAGGGTTTATACAGGGTCTAGGGTTTAGGGTTTAGGGTTTAGGGTTTGCCTGACCTGCTGCTGCTTCGCATAGGGCGATTCTTCTTTCTATCTCATCTAATATAAGACGACTCTGCTCACTAGAAAGTTCTTCTGCTGCTTGCTGCTGCTGCAGCAGCTGCTGCAGCAGCTGCTGCTGTTGCTGTTGCTGTTGCTCCACCTGTTGCTGCAGCGATGGCTGCTGCTTTTGCTCAGGCTGTGCAGTGGTGTCCTGCTGCTGCTGCTGCTGCTGCTGCTCTCCTTGTTGTTGCTGCTTCTGCTGTGTGTCGCCTTCGCCTCCTTCGAGATTCTGCTCTTGCTGCTCTTGCTGCTCTTGCTGCTGCTGCTGCTGCTGTGTGTCCGGTTGTTGCTCCTCTTGAGGTGTGTCTGGTTGCTGCTGCTGCTGTTCTGCCTCAGCAGCAGCTGCAGCAGCAGCCTGTGCGGTGTCTTCAGTCATAGTTGAATATCAGTGATAGACAGAAGCAAGAAGGCTGTGTGTCCTGCTGCTGCAGCTTAGTGGTCCACCAGTAGTTTCAGCAGCAGCAGCGGCAGCGGCAGCTGCTGCAGCTGCTGCTGCATGGAGTCTAGACACAGCTGCAGCAAAGAGGCTTCACCTTGTTTGAAGCCCAAAGCGACAGCAGCTGCAGCAGCAAGCAGCAGCAAGCCGTGAGCGATCGCAGCAGCAGCAGCAGCAGCAGCGGGAGCAGGAAGCCGCGAGCGCAGCAGCAGCAGCAGCAGCGGTAGCAGCAGGAAGCTGCTGCTATGTCTTGCGAAGTTCACTAAGAGAATAAAATCTAAATAATATAAAGAAAATCCCCATACAATTTTATATATACACTGCAAACCCTAAACCCTAAACCCTAAACCCTAAACCCTTAACCAGTCAACGACGAGTAGGAGAGGGGTGGCTGGCTGCTGCATTGAGCATAAGAGTAATAAGAGTGTTATTTTTTCTTTCTTTTTTTCTTTTTATATAAAAGTTTATATAAAAAATAATAAATAAAAGCAATTATATTAATGTTTATATAACAATAGCAGCAATAATAGCAGCAGCAGCAGCAGCAGCGGGCCAGCGACGCCTGCAACAACAACTCCAGCAGCAGCAGCAGCAGCAGCAACAGCAGCAGCAGCAGCAGCAACTAGTGCACACACATTATATATAGGATTATATTTGTTTGTATAAATATATTTTTTGTGTATATTTATATTTTCTTGATTAAATATACAATTAGTATTCTTTTTCTCGGTGTTGCAGTGTAGTTGCTGGTATTTGCTGCTGCTGCAGCTGTTGTTGCTGCTGCTGCTGCAGCAGCAACCCTTATTTACCTAATACTTATATCCTTCTTATTCTTTTTTCTTAATAAATGCAATGGGGCTTCCTTCCTTTATATTAGCAGACATATGGATAATTCCTGCTGCAGTATTATTTGGCTTATTATGCAACAACTGCAGCATCAGCAGCATCAGCAGCAGCAGCAGCAGCAGCAGCAGCAGCCAAGTATGGCGTATATGTGTATTTGTTTTTTTTCTATTTTGTTGCTGTAGTTATATATTAAATCATTATCCTTATATAATACCTTATAATAGGAAGAAAAGAAGAATAAAAAAAGGTATAAAATATCCATTAAATATAGCACATAGAGGAGGACAAGCAGAAGCAGCAGAGAATACACTGCATGCATTTAATTATTCAATTAATTGCTGCTGCTGCTCAATGATTGAATTAGATGTATGTATAACAAAAGATAAACAACTTGTTGTTGCTCATGATGATTATTTATACAGAATTACTGGGCAACAGGTGTACATACACCGCACCAATTATAAGGATTTACCTCCAATATTATCTTCTAAGGAATTAGAGGAAATATATTTAAATAAAAAAAAAAATAAAAAAAATATACAACAACAACAGCAGCAGCAGCAGCAGCAGCAGCAGGAGGAGGAGGAGGATGTTGGTGTGCTGCAGCAGCTGCAGCAGCAGCAGCAGCAACTAAAGGAAGAAGAAGAAGAAGAAGAATATTTTATGGAATTTTTTCCTGAATTTTCTGGTTATTCTTCCCCTTTCCCTAGACAAAGAATACCTTTATTAAGGGAAGTATTAATTAATTACCCTAATATATTAATAAATATAGATATAAAAGGAGACAATAATATAGATAAAAAGGAGACAATAAAGAATTATAATATAGCTATAAATAAATTAATAAAATTAATAAAAAAAAAAAAAAAAAGAATTAATTATACTATTTTTGCTGGATTTATACAAAGAAATCTATATATAATTAAAAATAAATTGCCGCATGCAATGGTAGCCATTGGTCCTTTTAGGGCTTTTTTTCTTTCTTTTTCTTTTTTTTTAGGTATATTACCCTTTATTTATATATGGGAGGATGTATACGAATTCCCTGCATCTAGGGATTATATACAAAGGGATATAAGAAAAAAAAGAAGAAAAAGGAAGAAAAATATACTTTCTGCTGCTGTTGCTGCTGTTGCTGCAGTTACACCATATAGTGCAGCAGCAGCAGCAGCAGCAGCAAAATTAGCAAATTTTTTGCTAAAAATATGTAATTTTTTAGAGACAATAGAGACAGTATTAACTGTCTCCTTTTTATGTAATAAATACTTCCTGCATGCACTAAGAAGGAGGGGTCTCCTTATTATTTGTTGGGTACTAAATAAGGAGACAGAGTATAAGGAGGCAATAGAGGAATTGGGCTGTCATGGCATCATGACGGATAGACCAATGGTCCTCCGTAACTTCTTACAAAAATATTATGCTAATAAGCAGCAGGAGGAGGAGGAGGGAGAGGGAGACGAGGAGGAGGAGGAAGAGGAAGAGGAAGAGGAAGAGGAGGAGGAGGGAGAGGAAGAGGAAGAGGAGGAGGAGGGAGAGGGAGAGGAGGGAGAGGAGGGAGAGCGAGAGGAGGAGAAGAAGTAAAGTAAGGTGTAAGAAAAAGTGACCAATGGACCACACAGTGGTCCATTGGTCTCCTTCCTTATAAAAGGAGACACAAATGGAGACACAAAAGGAGACACAAAAGGAGACACTTATACACCTCAATTATTATGCAATGGAACTCCTAAGGGCTACTGTGTCTTTATTAAGACACAACATTATTATATTTATTTATTTATTTATTTATTGAGGTGTATAGGCAGCTCAATGCAACGCAGCAGCAGTTGCTGCTGTGGGGTCATTACTACTATTCTTCTCCTTTTTTATTATTTATTTATTTATTTATTTATTTATTTATTTATTTATTTATTTAGTATTTATTATTATTATTGTTAATAATATTAGTAAATTATATATTAATAATAATTATATATAAATAGTAATTATATATTAATAATAATAAAGTTATTATTATTATTAATTATTATTATTTATTTATTTATTTATTATTTATTTATTTATTTATTTATTTATTTATTTATTTATTAATAGGCACAAATAGACCAATGGCCCATCAATATATATACACAAAGACCCCACATATTTACGGTGTATAGGCAGCTAATTAATTAATTAATTATTATTAATTAATAATAATTATTATTTCTTTTTTTTTGCCATTAGTTTATTGGCAAAAAAAATAGACCAATGGACCACTAACCCTTTTTATGCATACACAATAACACGTATATACATATACATATACATCTATATACATATACATATATATACATATACCTATACATACACATATGTATATATATGTGTATATATACATATATATACATATATACACATATACACGTGTATATGTATATATATGTATATATATGTATATATATTTATATATATGTATATATATGTATGTACATACATATACATATATACACATATACACGTATATATATGTATATATATGTATATATATACACATATATACATATATGCACATTTACACGTATATATATGTATACACATGTATATATATGTATATATATGTATATGTATATATATACAATTTATGTATATATACATATGCATGCACCAATGGTCCCTTTTCCCTCCATGTCTTTATAAAGACACAGCAACACCCCACATATAATTTTACGGTGTATAGGCAGGTATAAATAAATATAAATAAATAAATATAAATAAAGGAGACAGTTGTCCCTTTTTTATATAAAAAGGAGACACCTTAATACATAGTAATAAAGAAAGAAAAAAAGGAGACAAAAGGAGACACTTTATACAGATATATAGACAATAATACATAACAACAATAACAATAAAAAAAGAAAGGGGATAAAAGGAGACAAAAAGAGACAAAAGGAGACAGATAGATAAATAGACAGGAGAGACAGAGAAAGGGAGAAAGAGGGACAGGTAGGCAGACAAATATACAGACAAGTAGAGGAGGACACAGAGGCAAGGAGGCAGAAGAAGAGGAGACAGAAAGGGAGACAGAAAAGGAGACAGAAAAGGAGACAGAAAAGGAGACAGATATGGTGTCCTTATTGTTTATTATTTCCTTGTGGTGTTTTATAGAACCACAACTCTCATCTAACAAACCCTAAACCCTAAAAACCCTAAACCCTAAACCCTAAACCCTAAAAGCCCCACAACCTACACCCTAAATACCCTAAACCCTAGAAACCCTAACTCTCTTCGTTATTCGTGTGCGTATACATTCTTATGTATATATGCTGGTGCTGTTGCTGCTGCTGATGTTGCTGCTACTGCTGCTGCTGCATGTTGGCCCGTTACGTCTTCTGTTGCACTAGACTAGGATTCTAAATTGAAGCAGCAGCAACAGCAGCAGCAGCAACAGCAGCAGCAGCAACAGCAGCAGCAGCAACAGCAGCAGCAGCAGGAGAGAGTGACGGTAGGAGACAGAAAGGAGACAGTAGAGAGAAAAGGAGACAAATACTGAATAGACAAAGCAACGTCTTGTTTCTTTATAGATCGCTGTCTATACACCCCAAGGCGCATTCATAGCAACACACAAATATACACCATGCCCCTGCAGCAGCAGCAGCAACAACAACAACATTCTGCTGCTGCTGCTGCTGCAGCAGCAACAGCAGCAGCAACAGCAGCAGCAGCTGCTAGAGGTACTATCTCCTCCAGGCATTTATTGCTGCATTTGCTGCACTGATAAACCCTGAAGGAGTATACCCTCTACAGCTGCTGCTGCAGCGCCTGCTGCTGCTGCTGCAGCTACTACTACTACTGCTGCTGCTGCTGTTGCTGCTGCTGCTGCTGCTGCTGGTGGTGGTCTTATCCCTTCCATGCATGAATAGCTGCATTAGCTGCATTAATAAATTCATTAAAAGAAAATCCTCTAAAGCCCCAACCATCAGATGGTGGGGTTGTTCTTATTGAATCATCAACACACTTCTTACCCTGAATCAGGTGGACATACACCACAATGCATGCATGCATGCATGCATGCATGCATGCATTTATTTATTGCATGCATGCATTTATTTATTTATTTATTATGTGCATGCATGCATGCATGCAGGATTTGGATATGC